CCCCAAAACCCCAAAACCCCAAAACCCCAAAACCCCAAAACCCCTGCTATGTATGGCTAGATTGGAATTAGGAATATTATATTACTCCTTTTTCTCTTCATCTTTCTTTTTGCTTGCGTCCTTCTTTCTCTTTTTCTGGTCTTTAATGTCCATAGAAAGGGCTAACAAGTCCTTTAGTTCTTGTGATTCGATGGTGTTCTCAGTTTCGAACTTGTCCTTGTTGAGATCCATGTTACCACTCAAGAAGAGGGTACCGTTGGTCATCACAGCAACTGTGGCTTTCCAGTGAGCAACTACTTCTCCTTTTTCTTCCTCAATCACAGCAAATGGTTCAATCAAGTCGTGGTCTAAACAATGCTTGACTCCGATTCTGACCATAGTTTGGTCCTCGAAGTGGCGCAAAGAGAATGGCAAGGCTGGGTACTTGGTGTTCACCTGCTTGAGGAAAGATCTAGCTTTGTCACTCTTAAGCAAGTAAGTATTTTCTAGTCTTCTCTTGTAGATGTTAGTTTTGAGCTCAGATCCTTTTGGTCTTCCAGAACCGCTACTAACAAAGATTTCAAGACCAAAGACATCTCCTGGGTGGAACTCATAATCCTCACATTTTTGGCCTTTAGTTGAGGCAATGACATCTTCTCCATCTATGACATGCTTCTTGAGTTTATGAGAAAACACTCCTTTGACAACATGGCATTTGAATTCTTCGACAGTCTTGTTGATCACCTCAGTAACTTGAGTGTTTTTGTTGCCTGCTAGGATAGTCCTAAGAGCAGCTTCCTTAGCGGAATGAACAGCAAGCATAACATCTGCAGCTCTTCCAGTGATCTTAGCATCATCATCAGCAGTGGCAAATACGGTATGTCCTGAGATTGCGATGTATCCATCGATTTGCACTCCCAAATCAACTTTGGCAACATCTCCCTCTTCAATAGTAGTGCTCTCATCAGGCAATGGGGAGTAATTTCCGAGGATGTGGTTGACGGAAATAGAAGTTGGGAAGGCAATACCTCTTCTTAATTTTTTAGTCTTTTTGCTGTGGAACACAGTCTTGCATTGTTCCTCAATAAGATCATCAGCCTCCTTACAGAGAGTAGCAATATCAGCTCCAGGTACGATCTTAGTAGAAATCTGTGTGACAACGGCATCAGCGATCTCAGCAGCAGCTTTATATTTATCGAGAATAGATGTTTCCTCTATGAATGTCTTTTCAATTTCAGCGTCTCCTTCACCTTCCATATTTTAAAAGATTTTATATAATCTTCAAGAGGATTTCTGAGTTTCGGGGTTTTGGGGTTTTGGGGTTTTGGGGTTTTGGGGTTTTGGGGTTTTGGGGTTTTGGGG